GTAAATAATACCTATGCAAACTTGTAGAACATTGCAGGTTGTCTATAGCTAGAAAATAGAAAAAGTGAATTACAAAAGATACTTTTCTGCCAGCACATTTAAAAGCAGTAGTAATCTTAATAGCAACAACAAAAATTACAAGAGTTTATAGAAAAAAATCATAAAAGCTTTCTGAAAGTATGAGAAAACATTTAAAACAATGTAGTGCTGTAACATAACAGTGTTCGTTGACAGGAAGTTCCCATGGTTACAAATGTCAGTCCTCTCTGTGTTTATCTGTAAATTCAGTGTGATTTAAATAAAAAAAAATCCCAGTGGATATTCTGGAAGGAATGCATAGGCTAAATACATAGGTATCGACACAGGGCACACATAAATGAATATACTCTTGAAACAAAGTATAGAATCCAGAAACAGGTCCACTCATTGGAACAGAGGAGTGGAAGGAAGAGACCAGACAGGGGCTGAGGATGTGGCCCAGTGGTTTAGCGCCCCTGTGTTCAATCAAAGTAAAAAATAAAAAAAAGAGACCAGTCAGGGAATGGTGCTGGTCATTGAACTAATGGGGATAAGTTCTATCACTCTTTCTTGTTGTCTATCAAAGTCAATACCCAGTGATTGTGAAATCCTAACTACAAAAAGCATTACTGATGTTTTTAGGAGAAAGTAAAATTTTACTATTTTAAATAGTAAAATGACTTTTGTTGCAGTGGTTGCCTCCAGAAAGGGACCTTGGGTAGCAAGGAGGGGAATGAGAGAGAATTTTTATTCTGCTGTTGCCATGTCACATTGCAGTCTCATGTAGTAGTAGTATAAATTTTATATACAATGTCTCATCAATATGGCAAACTCTTAGAGGATTTGATAAATCCTCTAAGTGGGTAAATAGACATTCATATTTTTCTTTCTTTTTTAAAAAAATTTTTGTTTTAATTAGTTACACATGACAGCAGGATGACTTTGACATATCATACTTTTGAATCAGATGGGATATGATTTCTCATTTTTCTGAGTGTACAGGTTGCAGAATTGGTCATGCAGTCACGTATACACACACAGCAATAATAATGTCTGTTTCATTCTACTATCCTTCCTTTCCCCCATCCATTCCCCTCCCCTCCCATTACTTCTGTCTACCCAACCTAAGTTGACACTATTCTCTTTTTTTTCCTCACATCTTCATACGTGTATTTTGTATAATGATGAGGGTCTCCTTCCATCTTCCATACGATTCCCCTTCTCCCTTCCTTTCCCTCTCACCTCTCTTCCCTATCTAGAGGTAATCTTCTTTCCATGCTCTTCATATTTTTCTTGCTCTTCTTTATTTTTGAACTCTTTCTGAAGTGCTTGGACCAGAAGTGTTTCAGATTTGGGATTTAAAAAAAAWTTTTGGAATATTTGTTTATACATAATGAGAACTACCTCAGGGATGAGACAAGTCTAAGTTCATTTGTTTCCTGCACACCTTATTACACATGCAGCTTGAATATTATTTGTACAGTATTTTGAGTACACCTGTGTTTTGACAGAGACCATCATATGAGGTCGGGTGTTGAATTTTCTAGTTGTGGCATCATATTGTATTCAGAATTTCAGAATTTGGAGCATTTCAGATTTTTGAGTTAGAAATGCTCAACCTTTATCTTAAGGGGAAAAAAAAAGGAGATAATGATTCTGATATAGCCATATCTGTTTTCCTGCCATTCTGCTTTAGTTCTGTTTCTTTCTGTTAAGTCACCTTATGTCTAGGAAAAGGATATGGAGGCTTATCCTCTTTGACCATCCCTACCTGTAGCCATGGCTTCTCCCAGCATCCAGATGTGGTCTACCACAGAGCAGCTGAGACAAGCCCCAGGGAAGAATCATTCTCTTGGGACCCTAGAGGTGCTCAGGGAGTTTGAGTCAGTGAGCATGGGTGGCCCCTGCTTCTGACTCCTTCCCTCTTAGGGCCTTCATCTGTTTGCCTTACACTCTTTTAAGCGTACTCTCTCTCTCTTACTCTCTAGAGAGTAAGAGAGAGAGAGTAAGAATACCTGTTTCACAAAAGTTTCTGGAATTGACACAATAGAGATACCTTGTATTATGGATAAGCACACTTTTGACTTAATTCTTTGCCCACCTAGGCGTGGCCCAGGGGAAAGCCCTGGAAGAGTTCCTACTGTGGGCCTCCTACCACAGTGCAAATTTCAGAAGGGAAGCACTAGGGATGCTGGTCTTGAGAACATATTTGAGAGGCCCTATTGGCTTTATCATTTCTGGAAGTCATGCAGGATATGTGTAGCCACACCCAAGCTGACTCTCTGAGGCTGTAGAGCAAGTCTTTACTGTCCACAGTGATATTACCCTAGCCTTATATGTTTCAGTGTATTTCTAAAGACTAGGCTTTTCATTTTCCTGTGAAAGCTTGCTTTTCAAAAATTCTAACTCAGGAATTAGTGGTGGGGATGTAATTTCTTTTTAAAGCAACTCGTTCTGCAAAAGTTGGGAAGATACATTTGTGCTGCAATAAAACATACATTTGTGTGTGCTGCAGAGGAAAAATATTCTCCTAAGTTTGCTTTTCTTGATTCTTAGCTCCCCACAGAGAATATATTTTTGTATCTCATGTTTGCTATGTGGAGTCAGATTAAAGGCTAATTTTCCAGCCTTGTTTTTTCTGCTGGAGTTTGGAAGCTGGAGAACATGAGGCTTCACAGAGCTGTACAGTCCTCTGCTGTGAACAGGCCCTGCTCTGTCAATGGCCATTCACTGTGTTAGGGTCTGGTGACCAGTGCCAACTGCAGCTCCAGGAGAGGCCACCTCTCAAGAACATAGTTGTTGGGAAGCCACTTAAGGTTTATGGAGCCATAGCTAGGGTGACTCAGACCCCAGTGTTGGTCTGCCTTCAGAAAGGGGTATTTTGGAGGATTTTGGTCATCTGAATAGGAATATAGTGATTAGAATTTAGGTTTTATTTTATTTTATTTCTGCATGAATGCATCCACATTGGCAGAGTTCTGAGAGGTCCTTGTGAGGACTTGGCGTCAGTTGGTAGACACCTACCAAGAAATAGGGTTGACCCACAGCATTGCAAACCTTCTTGTCCTGCCCTTCTACCCACTGAACCCATCCAGGGCTGAGCAGGGTACAAGTCCCTTTTTAATGCCAAGTGTGGGGGAGTGTGTTCCTGGAAAGGCTCATTTGTGACAGCTTACCTTGATCGTCACATAAGAGAATGCCCTGGTGGTGCCCTGTGCTATTACTACTACAGCCAGAGGTCAGAATCCACTTGGAAACACAAATGCCATCTCATCCAGAGGTCGAAGGCCTCTAGGAGCTTACCTCAGACTTTGTTTACAGACGTGATGACCAGGGTGCAAAGCTGTGCCTTGGCCCTGTGCCACCCAGGGTTCACCGTCYGTTGGAGAAGTCAGTGCTACAGCAGCTGCTGATGGTGTGATCACTATGAAAGTGTGCTGGGCAGCTTTTGTGAGGGAAGTATCAAAAACCCTCCTTAAGGGGCTTATCAGAAAGACAGTGAAATCCTGTGTTTGAACTGCAAGTAGAGTRATTTGTTTTAGAATATGATGCTGAGACATTTAAACACTGTCCTTTGCAGTTCCTTCTTTAAATCACCCTGTTGTCACATTTGGCTTTTGTAATTGTTGTTTAGAAATTCCCACTTGATATTTCCATCCCTACACATGCTCAGGAGGTGTTGGAATCTCAACTTTTTGGAAGAGCAGTCTCAATGTCTGAGCCACCACCAGCCTAGACCCAGGTTCCGCGGTGTCTAAGAATCCTGGAGGGCAGTGTCCTCTTCTTTTCCTCTCCCTTTCTGGCCTTCCCTGTCCATTTTCCTTTTCTGTTTGCCTGTTCTGTTGCTGATCCTCTTTAAAAGGGGTTAGGTTTTTCTCACTCCGGTTTAGTGGACTGAGAATTGATGATAGCGTCAGCATTAGTTAAAAGTTGAGTATCTGTATACACTCCTTGGTTCCTTGGTGAAGTGGAACTAAGTCTGGGCCATCAGCCAGAAAGGTCTGCACCTTGTTGCCTCTGGCCCCTCAGACTTTTGCCCATAGGYAGCAGTGAGAATGGTGGGGTGTGTTGCCTGACAGAGGCCTGTTGATACTGTCCCCTCCCTTTGTGCAGCCCGAAGATGTGAAATTCCAACCCTGGAGTCTGATGGGCTTTCCAAGACTTCCCCTCCTACTTCCCAACTTGCAAATTATAGGCTCTCTGACTGCATGAGCTATTGTCAGCAAAAAGACATTTTCCTTCACTAAGTTCTTGATAACTGTTTTAGGATTGTAATGCACAATTGTTTATTTTTGACCCCAGTAGTGCTAGGGATAAAAGGGAGGCAACAAAATAGAGATGGCATGCCAGTGGCCTGCTGGCCAAAATGTACACTGCTAAAAGGCTTTGATGTTTTTGAGTTTACTCACATGGTATTTTTAAAATCAGTCAATTTCACATCAAGAGAAGAAGAAAAAGATTTCTGCCTAATGTGAACAATTAGATCATCTCTCAACTCAGTACTCATATTTCTATGGCAGTCAGCTATGGCTGAATGGCTAACCTACTACCTAATTTAGGCAGGGCGTTTTTCTCCACAGTCCCTACTACTCTCCACTGTCTCATATCTGGTTTTACTTGTGCTCAAGTGCATCTTTGACCCCTGCCACGGGGAACATCTTGAATTGGGATCATAGCTGCGACTTGATCTTAATGTCTCCTGGACATTAAGTACTCAGTTATAGATCTGCACTTTGCAATCTGTCTATTATTTGCACTTCCCATCAATAAGAGACGCTCAGATCTTGGATAAAAATTGGTCTCTTCTAAAAAAGGGGCAGGTAAGAATGTATGATACCAAAGATTGCCTGGGTTTGTTTCTAATCTGAATTTAGTCTGATGAAAGAATTAGTGAGACCTTATATTTGGTGACAGGGGTGGAGATGGAAATTGTCAAATGCTTCAGTTTCTCCAAAAAGTAATCAAATGTATGTATTTGGCAGGTGAAAAGAAAGCCAGCCAAGATGGATATTTACGACACTCAGACCTTGGGGGTTGTGGTCTTTGGTGGGTTCATGGTTGTTTCTGCCATCGGCATCTTCCTGGTGTCAACCTTCTCCATGAAGGAGACTTCGTATGAAGAAGCCCTAGCTAACCAACGCAAAGAGATGGCAAAAACACACCACCAGAAAGTAGAGAAAAAGAAGAAGGAGAAAACAGTGGAGAAGAAAGGAAAGACCAAGAAAAAGGAAGAGAAACCTAATGGGAAGATACCCGACCACGACCTGGCCCCCAATGTGACCATCCTCCTCAAAGAATCAGTGCGTGCACCTGAAATGACTTCGGCCCTGACCCAACTCCAGTCCCCCATCGTTGTTGCCCCTATAGCTACAGTACCAGCCATGCCCCAAGAGAAGCCAGCCTCCTCCCCTAAGGACAGAAAGAAGAAGGAGAAAAAAGTGGCCAAAGTGGAACCAGCAGTCAGTTCTGTTGTGAATTCCATTCAGGTTCTTGCCTCCAAATCTGCCATCTTGGAAGCTTCCCCTAAGGAGGTGCCTATGGTTGTTGTGCCCCCAGTTGGCGCCAAGACCAGTGTCCCTGCTCTTGCTCAAGGCAAGAAGGCAGAAGGGGTCCAGAACCAGGGCAGAAAGGGGGAGGGAACCCCAAACCAGGGCAGGAAGGCAGAGGGAACCCCAAACCAGAGCAAGAAAGCAGAAGGATCTCCAAATCAGAACAAGAAGGTAGAGGGTGCTCAGAACCAGGGCAAGAAGATGGATGGGACCCAGAACCAGGGCAGAAAAGGGGAGGGGACCCAGAACCAGGGCAAGAAGGGGGAAGGGACCCAGAACCAGGGCAAGAAGGGGGAAGGGACCCAGAACCAGGGCAAGAAGGGGGAAGGGACCCAGAACCAGGGCAAGAAGG